AATTTGATATGAAAACATTGTTTTGCTTTATTTGATTGCTCTTTGGCTTTTTTTATAAATATTGAACAAAAAGGTGATGTGCTGCTTAAAACGATTATTTTTGGAAATCCACGTTCGTCTTCTGACAAACAAATCCTATAACCTAATAACTATCTTGAGGAGGTTAATGCAGGACAGACTAGCTCAAATAATTCTCGAGAATAAAATTTATGAAGAGAAATGTATAGACCAGCCTTCTCCAACCTGATCTTTTCTCTATGTAAAAACTACAACTTCCATAAGCTCACACTCAGCACAGCACAGCAGACTTGGAGACTCCCTCAAATCTACTAGACATGCGTGAATGCTGAAAATACTCAAAGGGGTTGTGAAATTCTAGAAAGTAAGGAACGTGACCTCGAGAGAAATGGGCCAAATCATTTAACAAATCTACAAGGAAAAAAAATGTGCCTTAAGTCCAAAACAAGAAAAAGAATGCACAAAATACTTGCGTGGCAATTCTTTAATTCACATGAGAATTGGGGTGGTAGTGATGGTAAAACACTGTATGTGCAAGACTGATGTCAGCCCCACTATGTAAAGCAAACCAATAAATTAATTCCACATCAAGCTAACACTACATTTATAAATAGTAACAGAATCATGCCTATCTCTGTCAAGGTCATTTTCCTTACTCTACAGAAAGAGCCACTCAAAATCTCTGCATGCCTGTGGCTCTCAGGAAAAGCTCCAGAACAGAACATTTGGGAGTGTAGACTAATCAACTAGACAACTGAGGATTTCTAGCAGTAAGAGTTAGTGAACATGTCACACATTTGCAGGCACTGGTAAACAAACAGCTTCTATCAACATACCAGCTTAATTTAATGGTTAAGGCAGACTAGACAGCAGGAGACAGTGAGTTCTGGTTTCCTTATTCTAAAAGAGACCACCAAAAAAATAATATGCATTCTTGGAATGCATACACCATTTTATAAATGTGAGGTATAAATACATATGACAGGTTAAATCAACTCACACTAACCCCTCCTCTGATTTCTAGCTATACCAGTCATTTGATAATGGCTAATAATGATATAGCTAGTCTCTGTAAAAACATCATTAATGGCTTAAGAGCTATTGAATTATTTTAAACAGGAGTTAGTTTTCAGCACTCAGCTCAGAGTAACTATGGAAGAAAATCTCTTTGCAGCAATGAAGAAATATTTCTACACTGATTGGCATAGTATCATTTGCAATGTAAGTGTGATAAAAGAAGCTGTTTCCTTTGGCAACAAATCTTATTACTGTCAGATTTTCAGAAATGTCAAACTCACATCATCCAAATTGTTTGCCATGGAATATTTTAAATCTATTTTCTTGGCAACATTAACTTATTACATGTCTACAAAAATGGGATAATAGGATTGTAGTACTTTTATTATAGTTATCATTAACTGTTAACATATAGGATTGGCTTATTATCCTGTTGGGGAAATAAAAGTGAAAAAAATAGATACATTAGGAAAAAATGTAAATATGTGACTAAGAAACATATATTTGATCTACACAGTAGGAAATTAAGTTGTGTGTAAAATAAGAAATTTAGTAAATCAAGAAATCTTAAAACAGCAACATGCCTCAATATTTTCTCAAATAAAATTCAAAATAATTTTAGCACCTTGCAATAATGTATTTCCAGAACTTCAAGATCCCCCAATCTTGTTTATTTCCAAATGAGAGGTATAATCTGCTTACAGAGATGTGAAATGATTTTAACATCTTTCCCACAATCTCAAATTGATGGAAATTTCCAGAGTGAAGGCAAATCAAGTTAAAGGGAAATGGGTAGAACAGCTGTTTCAAGAGTCTGTAGAAGCTGTTCTTTCTGTTTTAGCTCCTAGACTTTTTTTTACTGTGTTCTGTGTGTGCTAAATTTTATTGATTTTATCTATGAAAGCTATGAAAACGCCAACACTGCCATATATCAAAAACATCTCAGAAATACTCAACAGATTATTACAACTAAAACCCTTCAAAACATCTTAAGCAACCCAAAGGATCCAGTAGCTCAAAAAAACAACAACCCAGAAATCATCTACAATACGAAGAACGACAATGGGACTTGGGTATGGCTAGTCTAAAGAAAAGAAGAAATAGGAGAGACATAATAGCAGTGTTCCAATATCCGAGGAGCTGCCACAAGGCAGAGGGGGTCAGGTTGTTCACCAGAGCACCAGAGGGAAGGACGAGAAACAATGGTTGGAAACTGGTCAAGGAGAGAAGCAACCTGGAATTAAGGAGAAACTTCCTGACAGTGAGGACAATTAACCAGTGGAACAACCTACCCCACAGAAATCATGGGTGCTCCATCACTAGAGATTTTTAAGAAAAGACTGGACAACCTGTCTGAGATGGTATAGGTTCTCCTGCTTGAGCAGGGGGCTGGACTAGAAGACCTCCAAGGACCCTTCCAGCTCTGCTCTATTCTATTCTATTCTATTCTGTTCTGTTCTGTTCTATTCTTTCCTATTCTATTCCTATTCTATTCTATTCTATTCTATTCTATTCTATAGATTGTAATAGCCACTATGTAGGCCAGACATGCAAAAGACTAGCAGAACGCGTCCATGAACATCAATCAGAAGATATGATAAACACTCAATGTCACAGCATTAATTTCAACTGAGAAACATGACCATCCTAAACCAAGCTATATTAAAAAAAAATACCAGGGAATTCCTGAAAGCTTGGCATTCAGGCAAATAGACACATTTACACACCATTCCAAAAAACCACCATAAGACAGATAAGAAGGAAACAAAACCAATGCAGAACACATTTTCCCTAAAAACCTACATTCAGGTAAGATAGTTAATAGGAAATTTCCAAAAGTGATTAGAAAGTGAGGCTTGCAAATGTACTGCCCTTTAAAAAGATTCCATTGGGGTTGAAAGTAAAATAGCTAATCCCTTCATCTCCAGTGCTCAAACCTGGGGAAGACCCCTGTCCTGTGGTCTCCTCACAAGAAGCAGCCCTCCTGAGGGCATGTAGGCGATTGTCCCTCCTCTTAGCTGGACGGGTTCTGAAGAACCAGTGTACCCTGGCACTACTTTGGTAAACTACTTTGGTCTTTGTTGCAGTCGTTGACTCCACTTTCATGCAGATGTCTTTATACAGCCATGCCCTCCCCCTGAAACCCTACTATTACATCTGGGCTGCTTATTAATGTATTATGTTTTTTTTTATTTTAATCTTTGTATTATTTGTTTTTGTTTTCATAATTCTGGAATCTGTCCATAATCCGATCATCAGGCAAATTTAAAAAAAACCAATAAATACATACAAAAGTCAATAATTCTGCCAGACAGGTGCCAAATAAATGCAAAATTCCATGTACCTAAAACTTTTTGCATGGAGACGAGTGGCTTTTCAGGACAGCAGACAACAAATTGAGAGAAAATGTCATGATTAATTACATTTATATAGCTGTTCATCTCCCATAAGGGTGGCATACACAATAAAACAATCCAAATAGACAGACATCAATTGAAAATACAACCAAAACTAATTTAAAAGATAAAAACAACCAAAATGGCAAAAAAAAGCACCCGAAACAAAGAGGTAACTGTCATGTAACCATCGTAGCAGGCTCCTGCCTATCATGGGATTCAGGCCAGTTAACAAAACCATGTCTTGAGGGTCTTCTGGAAAGCCAACCAGGTTGGTCCCAGACTCACCTCGGAGGAAGGGTTTTCCAAAGTGAGGAGCCACAGCAGAAAAAGCTTTCCTCCTAGATCCCAACCAATAAAACTCCCTGGCTAATAGGACTCAGAACATGCCAGTTCTGCCAGAATGGTTGAGATGGGTAGATAAAACTGGGGGGAGGCAGAGCAGAAATAACTTGGTCCCATGCCATGTATGGCTTTAAAGGTTGCAGCTTGAATTGGATCTGGAAGCACACTGACAACCAACGCAGCTGGTGGAGCAAAGGTGTAATGTGTACAATTCTTGGAGAACAGCACAGTAACTATGCACACCACGTGCACCAGCCGAAGCTTCCAGATACTCTTAAATGACAGGCTGCTAATTGGCACAAGGAGGGCTCCTGTTGAAGAAACGACCTTGAAGCAAATTGTTTGTCTTAAGAGACTGGAATACAGAAAATTATCAACTAAAGGGGTTGGGGGTAGGGATGAGGAATAGGTGAACAATGAAAGAGTGAAATGCAGAACTCAGAGGGGGGGGGGAAATCAAAGTAAGAACCTAAGCAGTTAGATGTAAGGAAGAATTGACTTAGTTAGCTCTTTTGCAGCTATAGCAAGTATCACCTGCTTTGCAAAACTGAGAAGTGTAAAAGTATCACAAATAATATGCAAGCCACTGAAACTTTATCTTGTTTTATTACTGCTAAACAGATATAGGAGCATATATACACAATCTCGTAACAGATTCAGATGTTGTTAGACAGCAAAGAAATGTGTGCACATAAATTGGTGTAGAAAGGACAGACAGCAAAACAAATATATGCAATAGAATCCCAGGTTCATTCTAACTGTAGTGACACCATCTCTCAGTACATGGAGTCTGAACCTCCATTTAGTAGTAAGGCACTGAAACAAGCCAAAGTTTCTACAATGTGATGGGAAAATAAGGCTGAATAAAATAGTTTGTGAATATCAAAATTTTCCAAACTGAAAGTTGGTTGGAACACCCAAATTCATCTGCTATATGATGTCAAAGAAAGATTTCACCTTTAGCTCTCTCTAAACTGAGCAACTGCAGAGACTAGATAAAAAGGCAGAGTCATATGTCACCAACACACACACTGTTATTTGTTTGCAGAAGTTCAAAAGGTGTCATGCTAAGATACCTCTTTCACTTAACTGAAATTGAAGCATGACCATAGCATCAGAAGTGGAAGAAAAGAGCCATTTTTAATTTTATTGATATATGCAGAGTAAATCTGTGTCACAATCAACCGGAAGATATTCTAATATTTGCACATCCTGCAGACTTACCTCAGTGAACGGTTCGATTCATCAGATTTTACAGGAGGTTGTAGAAAACTAAATTTCCGAGAGTATTTTTGATCACTAGCCTTGGAGTCATTTTCCATGCGCTTGCTCACAGCTGAAGTAGGAAGACCAGTAATATATTGTAAGAGGCTGATGATGGATTAGTAAACTTACACAGCATAATACAAATCATGCCTTTTCATGAATAAATATCAGTATGCTGAATGGGATATTCTCCCAAGTTAAGTTGGAGTAAGATTTGAATACCAATAATTGAGTAGCATTTTTTAAAATATAGAAAACTTCTTTCTAAGAAAGTTGTAGTACAAAATGGCATAATTTTAATCCAAGATTAAAAGTATACTCCTTGCTTTAAAACATTTGGAATAAATCAAAATCAGGAACACAGTTTCTCTATGTATAATCAGATATATGATACCAATAGATGGTAATCAGCAACCTCCATTTTATTAAAAAAAAAACTAAAATAGCCAAAATGTCATAATACAACCAAATCTTAAAGGTTCTCTGTATTCTATGAGGCTTTGTGAGATTCTAGATATTCATTTTTTTTCAGTTGTATTTTTTGGCATCTGTGATATTGCATAAAGAGAAGTGTTATGCAAGAAAAAAGGCAGAGGAATCACCAGAAAACTATGGGGTTGCAAAAAGAATTAGTATATTTAACTTTAGCGTGCAGAGTTATACAGCACTTCCTGTATGCTCTGAAGCAATTTCACTTCAAATTCGAAATTCTGCACAGCCCTGTCCCATAACTGAACTGTATCTTTCTAGACTTGTCCACTTGAATTATAAGTGTGATAAATTAATAGACCCATCTGGTTAAGAGACTTGTGATTTCTCTCGTGAAAAAAGTGCAACCAAAAGAGAAAAAAATGATAAAGACACAGCACCTCAAAGAACTGTAAAATGGGTCCCAAACATTAGGAAACACTCAACAAAAGTTGAAAATCTGTCAGTGAAATTCAATTGATTCACCTCTTTTCTGGACTACTCATGGCTCATGGCATCCAGAAGGTTCCTGAGAGGCTGCTGAGTGGAACTAAGTAACATGAGCAATTGTTGTTAAGGTTCTTCTATCTTCACTGGATCTTGTTAGGGACTGCCTGCACTGGAACCCAAAATAGAGTTCCTGATCTAATTGAAAGGGCTGTTTTTAACTTTATGGGTTCCTTTATGAGTTTGAAAAGAAGCCTCTCTCATATTGTGCCTTTTAAATAAAAACACTGTCTACTGAGGATTATTTTGGAATTTTGCCTGAAATTCACTGAGAGAGTTTCATGGACAGAGTCCACTTGTTTCATGGACAGAGCCTAGTTTTGCTGGGCCTATCTTGGAAGGAAGGATGCCCTCTCCTTGCAGCTCTAGCACATTCTCAAAATCTTCTCCAGAGATTTTCAAATGTCCAAAGCAAATTTTCAGAAGAAAGGAGAGGACAAAAATCCCCTCACATGATTCAGGATTTCACCCACCATTGCAAATGTGTTTGCTCTATGAACAGTTTAAATAGGAGCTGTGGAATATAATGGGTGATTAGAAAATTCTAACTTAATGTAGTATCTAAGAAGTTCATCAATTTAGGAAATATTTATCCACATCTCATGTATCACACCAAAATGATAGCACAATTTTAAGCAGGAAACAGAGGATACTACGCTCAGCAGAAAGGCAACAACTCAGTGTAAATTAGGTCAGGACTTGAATAAAAGCTATGTTCTTCAAACAGCAATTGAATGGATACATTTGTCCAGTTAAAAAAGCTGAAATGTGTTTAAATAAAACACATTTTTATCAACTGTTCTCCTAATGAGTTTACTTTAAGGGAGCAAGAAAAGGGAAATTGCTTTTTTACAACATATAAGTATGCTGAATTTGAAAACAAGTGTCAGGCAGAGAAGTACTTGAATTAATTTAAGTACATCCTTTTTTAAATCAGAATGGCTTATACAAGTCAATATGAGAACAAATTTAAAAAACAGCCTATAATGTCATCTACTCACATAAATTTATAAATTTAGTTAGATACCTTTGCCAGAACCGTGTTTGGACAAGATACAGAACCCAACAGCATGTAATTAGTAAATGGCAAACAAGTCTGTATATCAATTTTTGCATTAAAGCATCTTACCCAAACTAAGAACTAACTTCTAGAAATTAATGAGATCTCATTGTAACATGGTACTCGTATTGAAACAGAATTATTTTTTATATAGGAAAGAAATTAAAAACAGGCAAACAATTAATTGCTGCCTTTTACATTAACTGTTACCACAGGAACAGCAGAGCATGAAATAAGATCACAGCTTGTTTTCGTATATATCAAAGTACTTGTATAAATGATAATGGAGTCTTATGTTCACAATATCATACCTGACAAAGCATCTGTCTGTTTTCGCACAAAAGGTGCTAGTGGTTTAACCTTTGTGATACTGGGTTTGGCTTCATTACGTTGTAAGAATTCTCTCTGATACAAAACCATATTCTTGACATTACCTTGAATAGGAAAAAGCAGTACAAAGTTGCATTCACAGCTAACAATTTGTTTACTATGTGCTTATATTATTAAGAGAAAATAAATGGGTAAGTAAACAGGAATTATGCTGATAACTTTGATATCAGTCCAGAGACTCTACCAAGCAGGATATAGATATTGTTGTATACTTGTTGTATACTTTTAACAATTCCCTTATGTAGGACAGAATTGTCAAGATCAAAATAACCATTCTATAAATCTTTAGTCTTTTCTTAGGAAGTCTTTAAAGAAAGCGGGATAATAGTTGATGGACATGATTTTACCTCAGTTGGTTTGGATGAAGATCTAGCTAACTTTAATAAAGTAACTATACACTTATCACTATAGGAGAATTGTGTTTATGGTGGCAAAATATCAGAAGTCTGATAGTACCATTTCCAACTAAAGAATTCCATTAAACACTTCCCAACACTTATCAGTTTCTTCCAGAGTCAGGGATATATAACTGAAGACTGTAGTACAGGTAAAAATCAAAAATGTTAATTCTATTATATGGCCAGAGACTGACTCAAGAGTAGTGATGTCTTAAATATACTTACCTTCAAATTCTCCTTGATCTGATAGTGGTACATTACTCTTTAGTTTACAAAACCTGGCTTTTGAACAAACCTTTTCCTTGAGATCCCATAACCTTAATTTTATGCTGTGTTCTCTTAGTTTTATTAGAAACTCATTGGTAATATTAATTTCAATGCTGTGGTTCCATGAAACCCATATCTGGTCATTTTCAAGCCATGGTTTTACTACCTATTTAAAAAAAATAATACTACTGAAACAATACATTATCAACAATACTTTCCAGGTCACAATTAAAGAACATGCTTTTAAAGCACTAGAAAGACAAATCAGTGAAGGATTAAACTTTAAATTCAGGCAGATTTCTCTAACAATATAAATAAACTCACTATAGACAGAGAAATATTTTATAGCAGGCCACCGTATTAGCACATCAAGGCTATTACTAACTACTCTGATTGGCAATAGCTCTCCTATATAGTACTGGAAAATTTCTTTTAGTTGCGGAAGCCAAGGGTTGACTCCGAGACTTTACATATTCAAATGATGTTCTCTCTTTACTATGAAGTAGTCATCTCCCAAAAAACAAAATATAAGCTGAATACTATAAAGAAATCCCTTTTGCCTGATGTATAGGTAGTCCTCAACTTTTGACAACTGAGCCCAAAATTTCTGTTGCTAAGACAGATAATTGAGTTTTGCCCCATTTTATGACCTTTCTTAAGTGAATCATTGCAGTTATTAAGTTAGTGACATGGTTGTTAAGTGAATCTGACTTCCCGTTTGAGTTTGTTTATCAGAAAGGTTGCAAAAGGTGGATCAATGGACCCTAGGAGCTGCAACCATCATAAATACATGCCAGTTGCCAAGCATCCAAATTTCGATCGTGTGACCATGGGGATGTTGTAACAGTCATTAAGTGTGAAAAATAGCCATAAGTCACTTTTTTCAGTGCCATTGTCACTAAATGAACTATTGTAAGTTGAGAACTACCTGTACAGTCATACAGGAGTTTTTAAAAAAAGCAAATCAAAAGTTGTAGTTGACTTACCATCTCAACTGCAAAAATAAAAGGTCAGACAGCAATAGCAACAGCACTTAGACTTATATACTGCTTCACAATGCTTTATAGCCCTCTCTAAGCAGTTTACAGAGTCAACATATTGCTCCCAACAATCTGGGTCCCCATTTTACTGACCTTGGAAGGATGGAAGGCTGTGTCAATCTTGAACCAGTCAGGATCAGACCAGAATTAGCCTGCAATATTGCATTCTAACTGCCGCGCCACCACAGCTCTTCATTTGGTGCTACAAAATGCTCCATGTTGATGTAAGCTTGGGATGCTCCTTACATAATGTATCTCCCTTAATGTAGGAATTCTCCCCCATATCTTAATGTTCAAGAACATACTAAGAAGGACAATCCTTCAAGTACTGAAGACTTCAGCCTTTGACTGACACACAATTGGACTATAAAACCTTTTTTATATAAACCTTCCTCATTCTCTGCAATATATTTACTTATCTAGTCTTTTTAGAGAAAAATATTGTTGGAAAACATAGCAGGCAGAAATCCGTATCTGGTACAAAGTCGTGCCAATAGGTACCATAATAAAGGTAAATTAAAACATCATTAAAATATGTAACAGTTAACAAGTGATGACCATTATAAATACTTTTTATCTTCATGCTTTTTTGTCCCTCACCACGACACTAAACTTCTAAACTAAAATGATTTGAAATATAGACTGCGCTCATTATGTGCACTTATTTAATTTTAGCACCCATGGAAATATCACTAAATAAAACTACTGGATCAAAGCATACCTACTGTCAAGTTGAAACCTCACAGTAAGTTTCTAGCATACCACAATGCATCAGCACAGAAAAATAAAATTAATGTCATGCATCCTGGGCTTCGTACATCATTTATTGTCATTCTTTCCCCAGAATCTTATCTGCACTTACTGAAATATTCAGCGTGGATGGCTTTTTAAATCTGCTTCGTTCATTGTCTTTTGGAGTCCCTGGCTATCAAAATGACAATAGAAGCAAGAAAGGAAAGGAGGAAAAAGCTATGATAAAGAAAACAGACCAATGAAAAATGTAAAATAGACTATTTCAATTCTACACATTTCAGGAGCTTCTTATCTATTAATATGCTATTAATCCTATTTTTCTAATATTTTAAATTAATATTTTAACTATTAAAATAATGTCATGCAGATTTTGTAGCACTTTAAGTTAGAACCACTGATTCTAAAAAAAAAACCTTGAGCAAGCAAACAGGAAGTTAAAATTCTCAGGAACTATATATATATATCACCAAAATACAATATCAACTTACAATTCTCCTTTCCCAACAACCTTCTATTCTTTCATCTAAGTTCAACTGCAAATATGTGTGTATAATACAGTAAGTCAGTTTACTGGCAAGGTTTTCAGGGCATGTAACTGTAGATTGTACTAAAGATTATAGTTAAGACCAAAAGCCATAATCCCAATAAGAAACTAGAGTTTGTATTTGGCTCACTTACTTCAGTATGCCTTCTGAAAGTAAACTAACCACAGCCACTACCATTTTCAGGGACAAATAATTAAATGAGCACCATATTTGAACACTGTGACTTGTGTATTTCCAACTAACATTTGGACACCTATGAAAGGATAGGGTTTAGATTATGATATCACCACATTCATGTTATTTTTTCATCATCACAACTAGAAGCAGATATAATTAATTCCTCTGGGCAACAATGTGAATTGTAGAAGCCGCAGGTTTTTTTTTTTATGTGCTTTCAAAATATTGGTCAGTTTGTTGGAAAACATAGGTGGATTCCATCTTTGGATAGCCAGAAAAGTACTTTAGAATATATCCAATACCATTCTTGGTCACTCGAGTCAGATGGACTTGAAAATGATATGTTACAATATACTTAGAGTGGGTTATTAGAACAGTTTATAGCATCCCTTGTGTCTCAGTGCAGCTCAAAACTGTAAACCTGTCTATTTTACAATCTTCTATAAAGGGAGATGATTTGCTATAAAACTATATTAATCATGTTTTTGTGGTTAAGACTAATGACATAGCTGTCCCTCTTACAAAGAGTGCCATGAACTGGGAGTAGTATCTTGCCTCTCAAACTCATCCGTTAATTGTGCAAGGAAAAACAACTATCCTTTCATTCCTTTTTGTAAGAGACAAACATCTCTTCATCTCTCTAATATACTTTAGAAGCACATCCAAATGCTCACATCTATGTTAAGCCAAGTGCCACTCTCTGGAGTAGGTTGGGCCCAGACTGATATTATAAAGGCCAATCTTTTGTGCTCAATGGAACATGGAAATAGACTTTGGGCAAAGATCAGGAAACTGGCCTTAGGATCATTTTGTATGGTGGAATATGCAGAGATCCTTCAATCCTCCCAACTATGGTTGCCTTCTTAAAAATGTTAGAGGTAATATGTGTAATGGGTTCAAGAGGAACAGCCACTAATATCCTAAGTGTCAAAGACAAAGAAAATAGTGAAACAAAAATGAATTGATGTATATGAGAAAGCTATGTAAGTGGTACCTCTTAATCATATATAAGAATAGATTCTAAAATAACTCCTTGTTAAAGCAATAGCTTAATATTTCAGGGACCTCTGCTGCCAATGCTACTAGTTTCTGTCTTCTATACTATTGCAGGTAGTCCTTGACTTACAACAGTTCACTTAGTGACCGCTCGAAGATACAACAGCACTGGAAAAAGTGGCTTTTGACCCTTTTTCACACTTACGACTGTGGTAGCATCACCATGGTCATGTGATAAAAATTCAGACACTCGAGAACTGACTCACATTTATGATCATCGCAGTGTCCCGGGGTCATGTGATCACTTTTTGCGACCTTCTGATAAGAAAAGTCAATGGGCAAACCAGATTCACTTAACCACCATGTTACTAATTTAACAACTGCAGTGATTCACTTAACAACTGTGGCAAGAAAAATCATAAAATGGGGCAAAAATCATTTAACAAATGTTCCACTTAGCCACAAACATTTTGGGCCCAGTTGTGATTTTAAGTCAAGGACTACTTGTATTAAAGAAGCTCCAAGCCAACTGATTCATTTTGGTGATGTTCATTTGTTCTGGGGCCAAGATGATCTCTATTGTCAAATGTGATTCTAGAGCCTGATGCAGAACATAGAGAGGTTTCAGAAGATGCCATAGTTGCTCCTGTCTCATCTCTTTATTAGAGTATCACAGCTTCCTGGGTCAGAATGACATGATAAGAATCATTCATGTCTTAAGCATCCCTTGAATAGCATCCCTTGGATAGCACTGTAAAGTGCAGAAAGGCATACAGATGTCCTTCCAGCCACAATGCCACCAAGCATAATCCTCTGTGTTCTGTTGGAATCTGAAGAAGTGTTTCATCTTCTTGCTGTCCCACTCTCAGAAACAGATCAAAAGAAAGGCATCATCTTATTAAAAACTTACTAAAAATCTCCAGATGCACATGCCATTCTTCCTAGTGTTAGCAATTTAGCCAATCTCCCATGGTGATTTTCTATAGAGGACATTGTGCCAAGTAGATCACATAGGTAGATAAAACATGACTTTTCACCCTGTGGGCTCTTAAATGGTCCACGACCCCATCTTTACCTTAGAGTCGCTGATGTTAGGTGGAAAGGGGCTGCTTTGAATTGAAACCAAATTCTCTTGAATATAAACCAGAAGAACCTGCATGGGGTTTCTGATTAAGATAAAACAGCCTCTGACAAATCCATCCAACCTAGGAAGTAATTTACTTTAGTTTCTTCATTCTAAAGGTTCATCTATTGAATTTACTCCATTCTGATATTCAGAATGGTTTTCTAATCTCCAATTTTCTTTGACATAGACTACATTCTGTCAAGCTTTAATCCTATCTTGATCATATTCTTCATAATTATGTGGTAGAACACTTGTCATAAAAGGTAAGAAATCACAGTGGTCTCATTCAGCTTTCCACCTACTGAATTTCATTTCTCCAACATTTAACAAGATTGGTGATATAATATAAAACTGGAATACAATACTTCCAAACTTCAGGAATGTATTATGATTATTTAAGAATAGCAAAACAATAAATAGTTTATCTTTTTTTTTACCTTAGATTCTGTATCCAGAAATAATTTAGCCACTGGACCAAACAATACCAAATCTAATTTTCGAGGTTCAATATCATCTGGTAGAAGAAAATACTCCATATGATAAAAACGATGCATTTTTGGAATAAATCCTACTTTTGCTTTAGATCCAGATCTTTGTATCTCTGGTTTAGAAGATTGCCAAGGTTTAGTTGCTGAAAATAAATAAAAATAGAAAACAAGATTGGAAGAGTAAAAGTGACAGTGTTGCTGTTAGAATTGTTCTGTTTCATTAAGAATCTCCAAGATTGGCATTTTACCTCCAAAAGTATAACCTTAACATATTTAACATATTTACTTAACATATTTACATAATTAATCTGCATAGGTTATATTCCAAAGCCACAAATATTGTAAAGAAAACACAAAAATATTTAGTTATCTCATAGTTTTGATTAAATATTTGTAAATGTATCCATACATACCAGATAAAATTACCAAAAGATGCTCAAATAAACATCCATTCTCATTCATCCTTCCCAACAGCAATCCGTACCAATATTACAGTAGATGCTGACTAGGCAGCACCAGAGTTATTTCACTTTCCCCAGAAATAGCTATAGGATCCCTAGGACGTGTTGCGTTAGGTATAGCTATAGATACAGCTAGATACTTATTTCCACACCCAAACAAATATTTAATAAACCAGACCTCAGGAATTGCAAAAAAAAAGCCAATGCAGTGTGTGACATTTATCCATATCTATTGTACCACTCCCATCTGTATCAGTGCTTTGCAGAAGTTAAATTGTGCTGAAACAGAATTGATACAATTTCCACATCTTTATATTCCAAAGATCAGCAATGGATTGGATTTATAACATTAATTTGGTATAGTATAGACCAGGGGTAGGCAACCTTGGCTCTTTTATGACTCGTAGACTTCAACTCCCAGAATTCCTGAGCCACGAGTCATAAAAGAGCCAAGGTTGCCTACTCCTGGTATAGACTTATTTAAATATTATGACAAACATGTAAGGGCCTTTCTATGCTCAAGTCTCCTATGCAGTACTTGGTAAACCCTGCATGACATGCTCAAAAGAACTCACAATGCCATTTACTTACTTGGAAGAGTAAGTGGAACAGCCAATGAAACCGAGAATGTGCAGGTAACCAGATAGTGAAAATCAAGTTCTTGGCTTTTAATGGAGTGAACGGATGCTTGATTTCTATCCTCAGGAGTAGGATGACCACCACCGCCACCACCACCACACATTTCTGGGCTTTCAGATACATAGCTGCTGTCTGAATATTGTGTGTGGAGATCTGCCTCAGATCCCTCTTCCTCTTCATTTTCTCCCTCAGGATCTAGTTGTTTACTTGCCATCCTGGGACAGAAATCCAACTATTAATAATTCTAATTTCTTCTGATCTCTGCTTTTCTTTCTAAAATTAATTATTTTTAAAATGCAGTAAGCCATCCTATGCTCTACTAAAACTCTCCCCAAAGATAAGTCGGAAGAACTTTATTGGTATGTCCTTTTCAACAAACATACAGCCCACAGAAGCATAACCAGAATGTGAACAGTTGTTTTATTCTGGGCTTGAATCATCCTTGAACAAGGTGATATTGTTCCTGCATATCGAATGCAGACATAATTTTAAAATAGAAAAGTGTTTTTTTTATTTTGGTTGCAAAGCACTCATTGGTGGTTTGTTTTGTAAGCTGTTACATCACACAAATCAGGTTAAAAAAATTAATCATCTTTTGTAAGTTCCTTCTCAGGCTTATAGCCAAGTTCACCAGAAGACATTCAGCCATTGAGAAACAGCCTTACCTACAGACACTCTAAGATTAAGCCTGGCCCTCAAAATGCTGCTCTGACCACCGAAGGTAGGAAGGAGAGCAAATTCATTCAAGATTAAGTCTGCAAAGTTGCAGGTCCTTCATACCTGGCATAAGAGAACATCATGAAGCAATCCTGATGAGCTATAGTAAAGAGACAGCCTGAAAATCACTTTGAGACAGAGGCTAAGGCTGAAAAGAATATGTAATGCATATATTTACACTTAGTTGGCTATCCTGAGTAACTATAAGTTATTCTTTTTTAATGCCACATGAAGGCGTGCCAATCTTGACATATACTTTGCATGACAAGTTTTCTATCAATACAAAGCAAGGTAACCAAAAGGTGCAAAAACAAGAGAAGACAACTACAAAGGGACTTACGATGAACTGACACCTATAATCAAGCAGTTCAAACCAGCAATGGCAATACACATAAACAAGCAAGTTTCCAATCAAGCATTCCTGATGTATCAAGAACCACAGAGACAGAAAGCTGCCATATGCTGTTACATTCAGTATTCAAACCTTATGACTAGATAGATTAAAAATACAGCTTTAACCAGATAAATCCTACCCAGGGATTAGGAAATGAAACTTTTCATTTCAAATAATTTCTTAAGGCAAGAAGAACAAGCAGACGCACATATGTAACCTTGCTACAAACACAAGCTTGGATTTCAACTGTGTGTTCGAGAAAGAAAAGCATATTTTAATATAACAAAAAGCAGAGCTGTCATTATCCAAACTGCACCCCAATGAATCAAACTAGAAAGCTAAGGGAACAATGGATAAAATGCAGAGAAAGACAAATGAGATTAACTTTGAAATCAATGACCCATTAGCAAGCAGTCTCATTAATTTAAATGAGCAGCAGCACACTGATATATATCTACATGCAAACTTTCCCACCATTCTCTACATTCTCTGTAGAATATGCTATCCAGTTGCATAGAGAAATGAATACGGTATTGCAAAAATCTGTACAATATTATGACTGAGGAGAAATTTTCGAACTGCTGTTTTATTATGTTTGTAAATATGATTTTAAACTGCAGTTCAGTATTATGCTGGTTTAGCCCACAGAAAAGTTCCTCTTCCTACTTAAAAACAAACAAACAAATCAATTTGTAAATAGTCATTTTGGGATCAGTAGCCACTTTACTAACATGTTACTATAACTTATTATGAATACTTTTGCCAGGATACCTCCAACTGTTTATCTTATTATCTAAGGCTGATATTTATAAAGATTAGACAAGGTAAAGACCAATTGCTTCTTTGCTTAGAGAAAAATCTTCTAAGATTGCAAAAAGACATAAAATCAGGTATGAAACTCATCTAGATGAAACAAAATAGTTGCCTTGGGTAATCTTGGTAAGTATAAATCATACCTAAACAAGGTAAATTGGATTTAATTAGCCTTTAGAATATTACAGTAATTTAAAAACATGTCTTTCTAATCAGTTGGATTAGAAAGTCTAATTAGACTTCACCTTCTCAACCTACACACTTGCTAGAGTTTCTCAATCTAGCTATGCTGTCAACTCTACAACGAAATTAGCTGAAGCCATTTTCCTTTCGTTTTTGGTTGCCACAGAATTGGGAGGGGGGAATGAGTGTTTATCTAGACATAACAATAAATTGTTCTGTGGGAACCAAGGTCATTGTTAACTGCATTTTGGCAGGCTGCAACTTTCGTTAGAAAACCCCTGCAAATAGTTAATTGGGGAATGTGATTTATGACATACCACTGGGGTGTGAAGTTTAACTTTGTAACCTTTGGGGGGGGTGTTTCAGTCTTGGGTTCAGTTTTGAATGTGCTGATATTATGTAGCCAAATAAATATGTTCTTTAAGGAAACCTTTTTGCCTTGGAGTTCTTTTTGCTGGTCTATCGGAACCATGACATATCCATTGTGCAATCTACAAGAGACTTCCCAAGGTTGGTTATTTTTAACTAGAAGTAGACTCCAGAAATAAAAATGAGAGTTAATCCTGGATCAGATTTAATTACATCATTTTACTAAAAAAAAAGTCAGACCAAAGGACATTTCTACTACGCTAATTAAACAGATTTGTTTCTATCTTCTTCAGCAAACCCAGATGGTGTAGCATCATGAGGTTTCCAGCAATGAGATGTCTTCCCTATTTGAATGGCAGAGATTAATGCTATTATTTGTTCCTTGTTGCTTTTAATGTGTATGTTTCAATTGTTTTAACACTGTTTTTAATTAGGTTTTTAAATATTTTAAGCTGCTTCAAAACATTATTTGAAATGTTTTTCATAAAATAATATTAAAGGATTTTCATTCTCTCATTTGATACAGCAGCTAATAACTGTAGTATTAAGCTCTGTAGTTTCTAGTATATGCAGCTAAAAGTTACCAGAAAGAAATAAAATTATCAACCAAGCAAAGCTTTTTTTTTATATAAATTATATAAAAACAAAACAAAAAATGTTTGGCTGGAATTGTGGAATTTAAATATAAATCAGGGAGTTGTACAGCATTTGTTACATAAAGCATATGCCAGCATGAATATGGTTACCTCTAGAGACCTTGAATCTGTCTGGTAAATGCAACACTCCCAGACTTAGAAATATTTTCAAAAATGAGAATGTGACAACTAGCTATGAACTGTCTAAATTAAGAAGCCTGCACCTATTCAGGCTGCAATTCTTATGCAGGCTTGGGAGGCAATTTAAAGAAAATAAGCTGAGCATATGAACAGAACACCCCTTAGCACTGTTCCAGGCCTGAGGCCACTGGAAGCTTGCCTGCTTCCATAAAGTCCCACCAACTGGGCAGACTGAGATGGTATAGGGCAGTGATGGCGAACCTTTTAGAGACTGAGTGCCCAAATTGCAACCCAAAACCCACTTATGTATCTTCAGGTGCCGGGTGGACGTGGCCCATTGGGTGGGCGTGGCTACGGTGGTAATGGCAGACTGGGTAGGACTAAAATGTTCAATCA